GAGCTGCATAGACAAAATCCTGCTTCTGAAACCTTATCTGTGCGGGAGCTGTTATTTTCTCATTACAGAGATCAGCTGGAGGTGTTGTTTGCCTCTTTCAATAGCAGAAAAGAATTTTTCATTTCCTTGAGATTGTCATGTGACTTGAATGTAAAGAGGATTCAGGGTATGGCAGTGTTAATTACGCCCGATTATAACCTGACCGCCCTTCCTTGGCATTAACTAGCCCAGCAAAACGAGCTCGGTCCCGGTGGCCTGGCGATCCCTTCCTTCCCCACGTGCACGTGATTCAGAAGCTTTGCTTTGACGCAATAGCCACACGGCCGTGAATGTGTGAGCGGATACTGTGACAGAATTCCTCTGCCCGCATGTGTACCAGGGTGACACGATAATTAGAGGAGCACGGTCAAGGCGCAAGTATTTTAAAGAGCCCTAATGTGTAACACCCTCTTAGTAACACCTTATTAAAACAACAATAGAATTTTAGAAATGTAATTGCCTTTTTTCTTAATGATGCTAAAAATAGCGCAGTCATTTTAATTTCCTGATCTCTGGCTGACAGCATGATTTTGTTTCCAGCAAAGCAAGGGAGTCTTAGAAAAAAAACATGTTCTTTTGTAACTAAATTCCTTTTAAACTAGGAGTGATGAAAACAAGGCTGCTCATAATAGCGCTCATAGATCTTCCCCTTCTCTTCCTCCACCTTCTGCAGAAAAAAAAACCCACAACTTCAAAAGTTGTTGAGATTTTTTTTTTTAAATCAGTGGGTAGGAAAATGACCAAGGATCACTGCTGTAGCACTGTGGCTAGGAAGGGCAGTGTTAACGGATTTCTTAGCGCATGGTGTTGACTGGCTTCAGAAGTCCTCTTCAGTGGCAAAGGCAGTACCTAAGGTGAAGGGTTCCTGAGTGAGGGAGGACAAACCAAACCCAAAAAGATGCTGAAGGTCTTTATGGAAACGGGGCAAGGGAGGAATTTTGTATTTTTGCACTTGGCAAGTGGTTGCTACGGAGAATTATTTAACCAGAGGGACACGGAGCAGCTCAGGAACCATCTGTGGTCTTTGTCCATTTTGAAAATGGGCAATTAATTAAAAATTCAAAGGTGAGAAGATCCAGTTCCAAGATGGAGTGTGACTCCACTATGGGATTTTTCTTCTGAATTCTTCAGAACCAAGGCAAACAGGACATTTCAGGGGCCAGGCAAGCTGCCCCCACTGCAGCAGGAACTGTGGTAGCACTTTGGTCACCGAGACTGGTTCTCCCTCCCTGGTCTGCTTGTGTCAGCTCTGAGGAGGATGCCTGACACGCAGCTGGGAGGGCCTGGTAACACCGTTCTTGATGTCCCTTCCACTTGTTTGGAGCTTTACTCTGATCAAAAGCTGCCTTATGCGTGGAAAGCAAGAGCCCTTTGCAGGTGGTGTCTTTCCACAGTGAGGTGGTGCGGGTGCCTGTAGGGATTTTCTTTGTTTTCCTTGAAACTAGTAATAGGTCTGGTTTGAGGTACGGAGCATGGAGCTGCGTGTGCTGGCAGCTGGCACCCTTTAACGTGTGGTGATATTGATTGCATGTGGGAAAAACACAGCTGCCCCTGTGACACTTCCCCGTGCGTGCCTCTCCAGGGGGCTGTTGGTTACCCTGCGCGGGTACCCTCTCCTACCCCGAAGCAAGTGCACTTGTTTTTTCTTCATTGCCGAGTTTTGTTTGCAGAACGAAAAGCGAAGCCGTGCTTGCTGGGTGAGTGCCTTCGGCTTGCTGGCGGGTGCCTGAGGCTCAGCTGTTGGGGGAAGAGGTGCCCCCCATCCACCTGCGACCCGGACAGGTGCCAGGGTGGCCCTAGGGACGGTCAGTCTCCACA